CATTTCAAGAGGGAATGTCCAACCGAGAAGAAGGACGGGAGAACAGGAGGAGTCTGACCCCATAGCATATCAAAGGACCCTGCTATAATTTTGGTACGCTTCCAAACCCCAATAAATAATCATAATTGTACTCACTCTCTCGTTCGAAACAAATCATAGTACTCAACCCTTCTTCCAGATTAACATAACATCTAATTCATCAGGAAATTCAGACATCGTGTTCCGACATGGTTTGGCTTGGTCCTTACCACGCAATTTTATGTACTAGATAAAAATAACTTTTCCCTTAAACAACCGTCAGTTAAAAATTTTCCGACCCATAACGCAAAACCCTTCAGAAATACCCATGCGAGAGGTACCATGCCCTTCTAATCTACCCAATAGTTTTTAAACTTGAAACGAAGAACACCAAATAACATCCCAGAAGTACGCGACTTTCCCGTCATTTGTTCAGAAGAACGACCAGGATTACCACCGCAACGTCAAGTCGAGTTCCGAATCGACTAAATCCCAGGAGCTACCCCAATAGTTAAAATCGCCTCACCATCCAGCTCCAGCGGAGATGCAGAAACTTTCCATTCAACTTAACAAACTTCTCAGTAAAGGATTTATTAGACCAAACTTCTCACCATGAAGAGCACTGTTCTTGTTCGTGAAGAAGAAGGATGGATCGTTTCGTATGTGCATCGACTATCGAGGGCCGAGCAAGTTTACCATTAAGAATCGTTACCCACTACCTTACATAGAAGACATATTTGATCAACTACAGGATGAGAACTACTTTTCAAAGATAGACTTACGATTCGAGCACCATCAATTACGAGTGTCGGAGGAGTGTATTCCCAAGACAACCGCCCGAACCCGATATGGACACTACGAGTTATAGTGATGCCATTCGGATTAACTGATGCGCCCGCAGCGTTCATGGACTTAATGAACCGGGTGTGCCGTCCTTACTTGGATCAATTCGTTATGGTATTTAACGATGACATACTTATCTACTCTCTTAGTAAAGGGGAACAAAGTCAACACTTACGTCTGAGTCTAGAAACACTTCTAGCAGAGAAACTCTACACGAAATTTCCCCAAGTGCGAATCTTGGATTCGAAGAGTCGCATCATTTGCTATGACTATCCATTCACATCTTCCCATCCAAATTAAGGAGACTCAGCTAGAAGCCCTCAAGACCGAAAAAGTGTCTATCCGATGAGACTTTTATTATTCCACTCGATGAAAACGAGATCAATGAGGGCCTACACTTCGTAGAAGAACCAGTAGAAATCATGGATCGGGAAATTTAAAAGAACAAAAACGAAGTCGCATACCCATTGTAAAGGTCCGCTGAAATGGCCAGCGAGGACCTGAGTACACCGGGGAGCGCAGAGATCAGATGAAAAGGAAGTACCCGCATCTCTCCCTTAGTCCATAAATACTTATTCTAGAAATAATTTCGGGACGAAATTCCCTCTAACAGGGGGATGATGTAACAACCTGATATTTCGAGTCAATATAATGTAACACCAGCAAAAATTAGGTCAAAAATAAATTTGTTCAGTAACCATAATTGGGATGTACTAAGTGGTAGATATCGTAACAAGGTTTCCAAAAATATAAGGAACACTAAAATCCGAGTTATAACGAAGAAGTTATGACCAATCGAAGATCCGCAACAAAACCGGTAAAACACTGTTAAGCCTAAAACGCGAAGTTTTAATAAAATACTTTTTAACCTTAGGTATCTAAATGAAAGTCGTAGATATCAATAAACCATAAACAAACATAAAAAGAACGTCCAAATCTGACTTCGTATGAGGAATTTATGATTTTTCGAAGTTTCGGATATAGCAGTAGACAGCTAAAAACTCGAAATAGAGACCGAGCGACTTTTAGCCTACGCAACCTAAACGAGAACCGAAGATCTCGACAATAGTGACACAACGGTAAAAAGACAGACGAAAACGGACGTCGGATGAAGAAGTTATGGATTTTTAACAGAGTTTTCCTGTCCCGACCTACTAAAAATAAATATAATAAAATTTAAAGTCAAAATTAGCCGACGAAGTCTAAACAAGAGTTGTAGATCATAATCTCACCTTTGCGTCGATATAAAGAACGTCTAAAACGGAGTTCGTATGCGAAAGTTATGAATTTCTGAAGTTCGGGGCACGAACCCCAACACTGTGTCAGAGTTCACGACGTGAAAAAGAGGTTCACGACTTGAACTCAGTGCTGACGACTTCTGGAGCCTGAGAGAGTGCTGTCTCGACAATAGTGATATAACGGTAAAAAGACAGACGAAAACGGACGTCGGATGAAGAAGTTATGGATTTTTGATGTTCAGGGCGCGAACCCCAACACTGTATCAGAGTTCACGACGTGAACTCAGTGCTGACGACTTCTGGAGCCTGACAGACTGCTGTCGCGACTACGCACCTGATGACGAGAAGTTCACGACGTGAATAAGCTTGGTTCACGACGTGAGACCCCAAAAATGACCCTATAAATAGAAACTGAAGGTCTCGGGTTTAGGCTGCTCATTCCTATACTCTCTCCTACTTCTACTCTGTGTTAAGCATCCCGAGACTACCCCGAAGCCCTGGTAACACCCCTAACACACGAAGCAAGTCCCGACGCCCCGAATCTCCCGAGATTTCCGAGAAATCGACTCCTTTCCGGTCGAAGTGCTGCCCGAACAAAGCATCGTTTTCACCGAATATGCACTACTACCAAGTGAGTTCACACCCCTACAAACACACTTTATATACGTTTTTAACCGCTTTTAAATACTTTTAGGGGGAATACAAGTAAACACACGGTCATAATCGTGTGAAAAACATCAATCTTTTGCTATACTTTTCATTATATAATCAATCATATGTGATTTATAACTATCATACGAAAACATTAGCATGCAAAACATCTCAGCATACCATTTTGTCCTTGTGGAATAAAACATGTATATATATATATATATATATATATATATATATATATATATATATATATATATATATAACAAACTATGTTTCATTTATATGTTCATATAACGTATCATAAACACGGGTAACCATTTCATCATAACATTGTTCGTTTCAAAATACGTGACTTAGTTGAGAATATGTGAGTCATTCGTCTTCATCGTACCTATCAAGGTATACAACAAGCCCTGTTTTATAACCAGAATCTCCTCCCGGAGAACGAGATAAGCGTGTATAGATCTATACGGGACTGATGATCCCGCACCTTGATTGTTAGCTACAGTCCAAGAGGTGACAATTATCATAATATTCCGACGCCTGAAGAACGTTGTTACAGGCAAATTTATCTCAGTATGGTTATGAAAACTCACAGGATAGACAACTATTATGGTATTCATCTTTACGGGAAAAGTAATATTACAGTTGCTTTTACGTATCATTTCAAGCTTCTTATAGTTTTATTAAATGATAAAACTATACACATTCATTATAAGTATGGCATATTTACTTACATTCATGGTCTTGGTTCATATAAGACTACACCTCACTTTTAGGAAAATATAGGATTTTCCTGGTTCAAATACATTCATTTTGTACAATAACGATTTACAACATCATTCTTAAGAAAATATCGTATTTTCTGAAAACAAACGCGGACTTTTCAAATGACATTCATTTACACAAATAACAGCTTATGAACTCACCAACTTAAATGTTGACACTTTTTCTTTGAAATAACTTGTATTCTCACGGAATCGCTAAACCAGGTTAGCAACTGCTTTTGAAGACTTACGCTCAGGCGTTAGTTTAATCTTTTGGACATCATATTGTAATTGACTTTTGCAAACATGTAATACTACAATCATGTAAACTTTTCAATTATGTATATGATGGTTGCGTGTACTTTCTTTACTATTCATTTGTTATGATACTGTACATGACATCCTCCGCCCCCGAATGTTTCCGCCGTTCTGGTTTTGGGGGTGTGACAATCTTCAATAAGTGAACCTTCATCTTCATCTAGGTCTTCATTTTCACTTTCACTTTCCTCAGCCTCAATCCAGTCGAAGATAGGTTCATTCTGGTGATCCACATATACATTCATTCTCTTGTCATTAGCATACGCCAAATCCAAAAATTCCTTGTAATCACCCTCGTTCACCAGTGTATGAATTCTCTGACTTAAAGACTCTTGTGGAAGGCAGAAATAAATGTCTTTGCTTGTCGTTCTGGTGAGCTTGTGAAGGAATTCCATGAACTGCTCATACCCAAATGCACTGAAGTCAACATCTCGCACTGATGCTCGGTCGGGATCAAAGTAGACTAAGGGCTTGGGTGTAAACGTTCCATTGTAGTGGAAATCCACTACAATGAAGTTGTGATCAGTGGGATTTGGTGATGATGCCATTCTACAGAATGATTGAAGGAGACGAATGATCGATGGAGAATTTTGTGTCTTAATCGAGTTTAAGGACCAAATGAGACTTCAGGCTAAAGTTTAACGAGAGGGGGACGGCAAATCGGGGCCTACATGCCACCTCATTCGCCACGTAAGATAAAAAAAATACACGTAGGATCGATAAATCATTTGAAACCGGCTAAAACTGGTCATAAGGGGAACATTAATACAATTCAACAAGTAAAAGGGTTAATAAAGCACGAAATAAAGTTCAGTGACCAAATGTGACCAAAGGCAAAAGTACCTTACCCTCTCAAGTCATTATCCCTTCAAAAAACGCATTCCCCGCACCCTATTATCTAATGGCTCTTTATGTGCAATTTTTATTTATATTTTTGATCTGGGAAGCAACATTCTTCTATAAACCTTCGAGATATCAGATATGGTTACCTTTGAGTATCTATTGGTAAAAAATAATTGAGCCGATTGATAAGAAAACACACAAAATATAATTAGAAAATCAAGTAACAAGCGTTTAGTGTAAGAAAGTCAAAGTTATATGTAGACATATCATCATCATTAATGTGGTAAAGGTATGCTGTCGACAAATTACACTTCATTTCATGGAATCTACCACCTTTCTCATTCTCCCCTTTAAATACACAAAAAAACACCCTGTAATTTCAATTTCACACCAATCTTGCTTTCGCCACCATTATATCATACATCCATTCAATTTCCAGTTTTCCACCACCACCATGACTTCTATGTTACAGAGGGAGAGATCTCTCCCCGTTTCTCACAACCCCTCTTCAAACGATCCATCTTCGGTGGTTGCCGGCATGCGCCGGAGACTCTCATCCATGTCCTTACGGATCCAGCCCTCTTCCATCTCCGACACCACCTCCGCCGCAACCGCATGGGCGATGCGCCGCTCCAAATCCGTTTCCTCAACGGGGGAATCCGCGTCTACCTCAGTCAGGAACTGGTGGGATTGGGGATGGGGATGGATCCTGTCGAGGAAACCCGTATTCGCACAGGATCTGGAGTTTAATCAAGAGGAAACCTCCGTTCTCAGATCCCATGATAAAGGAAGCTGGAGACACGTCTTCTTCAAGGTTAGATCCGAGATCCGGAGAATTGTCAGATCTGATAATGTCGGCCTCCCTCAGACAGTTCGTTACAACTCCTACAGCTACGCTCGCAATTTCGACGATGGCAGCAATAAATTCCGAGGCTGAAATTGGTCTCTGAGCTGAGCTACTACCCAAATTCAAAGATCATACAGTTACTCCGATTATGTTGTTGTATCAAATTCATTTTTTCTGTTTAGATCATAGACAAGGTAAGATAAGGAAAAGAATGATGATTTCGGCGATGGTTGTACTCCGGCGGAAGGGAAAGAATGATTATGTCAATTCCGGTGGTGTTCTCCGATGTGGGTGGATGTCGGTGGGAAGAGAAATGCAAAGTAAAGTGGGCGGGTTGTAATTTAATTTGTAAAATTTGTTCATTTTAATGTTCTATTATTGTTAATTTGTTATATATCAAACTATTTGTTGTATTATTTCATTTTTTTCTTCTTTAGCTTAATTATTGAAATATATAATAATTGAGTTGCGAGACTTTAAGAAAACTACAACTATTTGTTTATACATATTAAAAGTCTTTTTTATAATTATTACAATAAATTTGATTTGACTTTACAGGTTTTCTATTATATGTTTATTCAAATATCTAACATCCCTATCTAATAAACAAAACCATTTGTAGGTGTCCTTTCAAAAATTCAGATTTCAACCAATGTTAAATTTCAGTTTTACCCCTTCTTCATTTCACGTCGCAGTACATATGGAATATCAATATTAATATGGAAATATTGAAATTTTGAATTTTGAAATTGGAATATATGGAATATATGGATGGATATCGAATGCAATATGGAATCCATATAACGCTCTGTCTTTCTTTCAATTTTTACAGCTCATAACAGCTGTACACATTAACTCAATTTCGTTACATGCCCGATTAAGAGCATCTTATTATGGTATCCATATCAATCATCTTATTATGCTCATAACAGCTCTGTCTTTCTTTCAATTTTGATTGTATTATGCTCAATATATACTTGAAACATACGATATGAATCATTCTTTACAGCATCGTCTTTCCAACAATTAAGCATCATCGACACTTCAGTTATCGGATATTCAATCAGCGACTTCAATCCTTCGGTAAGTTTCTGCTTCTCAATGTGTATATGTAAGCTCCTGTTTCCCACAGAATGACAGAACATGGCTAGGTTAATCCCTTGGATAGACACTTCATTTATCGGATATTCAATCACCTTATATACCCCTACCCATGCCTAGATTTTTATGAATTTAAGGTTTATTTTGTGTATTGGACTTTGACTGGAATGTTTGATTCTCAATGTGTATATGTAAGCCCCTGCTTCTCAATGTCTGTGTTAATCATAATTGAAAATTATTTCTTCTACTTAATGTGTATGCGTGTGTGTGACAATTTAACTGATGCTACTTAAATTACCAATGCGTATGCGTGTGTATGACTGCTTAACTGTTACTGTTCATGTCTATATGTATTTATCAATACGTGAATGCCAGTGTTGCTCCTTTGCTGTTGCTATTTATCTTTAAATACGAGATACGGTTTTTTAATTCCCTGTTTCCTAGTGTTGCTTCCTTGCTGTTGCCAGTGTTGCTCCCTTGCTCCCTTGCTGTTTCTTAATTGTTTTCTATCTCAAAGTCTTGAACCAACCCACTAAGTTGATCATCACAGTTATAGTAGACTGAATAACAATCATTGCATTTAATGTTACAACCAACTTCTGTCGTATTTTCCCCTCATCAACAATTAAGCTGTTAATTAATCATTCTCCAGTTACAAAGGGTAGAATGGTAATTAGAACAACAAGTTCGGGGACATAATGCTAATTTTATGTACAGGGACATAATGGTAATTTTCACAACACGGGTATATAGTTTGTGTTTTTATGTGTCTTTCTGTTTTGTGTTTTTATAAGTATATTTGCTCTATGAAAAAGATGTATCAAATATGAATAAATTCAATAAAATGGTATATTTTATGGGTATGCAATCGGTGCATGCATTCTTGGGAATATGTTTTTCTATAATTTGAGGTAATGTATGAAACGAAAATTGTAATGAAGCTGTGAGATGAGATATGTCTATGTATTGAATGTGTAACAGTAGTAAACAATGCATCAGATGTCAATTTTGCCCTTTGTCAATCCTTTTGTTCAACTTTACAATTTCCATTCTTTAAATTCCGGTAAAAGTGTTTATTGATTGTATCCTCTATTGAACTGAATAACACATCCGTTTTTACTTTAGATTCACAACTTATGGATCCGGATCATTGATATGGATCCGGATCATTCACAACTTAATCATATCTTCTCGTTTCTTAAGTACTACAAAGTACAAAACAAAAAAGGACAAAAAAATTATATATGCAAAGGACGAAAATGCCCTCGCCATCTGATTCCATGTGATGTAATAAATCCAGCCTAAAAGAATAAAAATGTTCTTACCATTAAATAACATACCAATAAGATGTAATGCCATGAATCTCTACAATCTCTTAGGCTTTTTGATACAGTTGTACCTGTTTAAAACACATATTACTACTCAGGTATTATGAGTCGAAATTACTTAAAATAAATCAGTATTCTGCAAATTCTGTAAATAATCAGTATTCTACAAATGTAAAATTCCGTTTTTACCCTTTATTTGTTTCACGTAAAAATCGAAATGGAATATGGAAATTTGAAATTGAATATTGAATCCAATATGTAATCCATATAACGCCCTGTTTTGTTTCAGTTTTTATCTCTGCTACCAGCTGTACACATTAACTAAAATTCATTAGATACCCGATTAAGAGCATCTTATTATGGTATCCATATCAATCATATTGATTACATTTAATTTGATTATTATGTCGATTTGATCATATCAAACATATGATAATCAATCTTTCTTTACAGCATCGTCTTTCCAAGGTTCTGAATCATCGACACTTCAGTTATCGGATATTCAATCACAGACTTCAATCCCTACGTCAGTTTCTACTTCTCAATTCTGCTTCTTAATTTCGTATATGTAAGCCCCTACCCCTGTCTGGATTTTTTACGAAATTATATATGAAAAATACTGCATTTTTACTTAATACTACTTAAGATAGCATTCACTACTATTTTTTGCGATTTTGTCATTATTTTACACCATGTTCTGTAGTAAATTGATGAGCTGTGCATCCCAATCAAACCCCGTAATCGCCATCTTCTTAGTCTCCAGTTCTTCGGTAGTTAAATCCAACAATGACACCAGTGATCTTCCTACAAAGTACATGATCAATATTCTACAAAAATAAAATACCGTTTTTACCCTTCATGTCGATTTGATCAGATTATTGTCAATATATATTTGAAACATATGATAATCAATCTTTCTTTACAGCATCGTGTTTCCAAGGTTCTTAATCATCAACACTTCAGTTATTGGATATTCAATCATAGACTTCAATCCTAAGGTCAGTTTCTGCTTCTTAATTCTACTTCTTAATTTTGTATATGTAAGCCCCTACCCCTGCCTGGATTTTTACGAATTTATATATGAAAAAGACTGCATTTTTACTTAGTTGATCACCTGTATAAATTTTTCTGAAATAAACTCAACATCATAATTCTAAAATGTCAAAATTTGTCAAATTCTTGATCCGTGTTGGCCATCTTCTTAATCTTCAGTTCTTCATTATATTATTTAGTTTAGCATTCTACTGTGTATCCTTTATTCAGTAATATTTTGTCTAAGTCTTTTTAAACTGTTTTTAAATTACCAATTAATGCATTGTACTTTTGGTTTTTTGAAAACCTACGAAGTTGCATATTTCTTGTCAATTGTATATTTCACACATCTTCATTAAAAAGAAGAGTATAAATTACTTATAATATACTTACTATCTTACGTATTACTTATACAATTTTAATGTGTGAGGGGTATATTGCTAAACTTATTTTTGGCTGAAAATGATTGTTGAAGAGGCATGTGGAAAAATTGATTGTTCTAATTACTATTATACCCTCTGTAGCACTATTTTAAGGATTTTATTTTGAAATTACTTTTATCTCAAATAACTGAAGTAACACATTTTACACTACTGGCACATACGTAATGTTTGTATTTTATAAATTATTTTTATCTTAAATAACCGAAGTAACACATTTTACACTACTGGCACTACAAGTGAAATCTCTGGGCAAACGTGTTATTGAGGCAATTATCATATGTGGAACTAATATTGGAAAGCAAACATTTATTCCAAGAATGTCTTTAAGTTCATCTGAAAAAAAAATTTCATTCAAATTTCAAAGAAGACAATTTCCATTGGCTGTATGTTTTGCAATGACAATTAATAAAAGTCAAGGGCAGTCGTTATCAAAGGTTGGTCTGTATCTCAAGGATTTTGTTTTTTCACATGGACAGTTGTATGTTGCCTTATCTAGAGTTCAAAGTAGAGAAGGATTAAAATTGTTAATTTTAGATAAGGATGGTAGACTTACAAACAAAACTTCAAATGTTGTGTATAAGGAAGTTTTTAGGAATTTATAAATGCTTCGTACCCATTAACTTCAAACAATTGTGTTTTTTTTCTTTTTTTTATTACATTTTTTTAATATTTTATTGTTTATATAGCATTGTAATCCATAATATTGAATTTGTTTCGATATTTGATTTTCAGACTTTAATAGATGCCACATGGTGTTTCTTGATTGCTCCCTCAAATAAAAAAATAATGATTTGCCCTCACACTTCATAAAACATTCACATATTGAAAGATGCATTTTAGTTATCTTCATATTTACCTTTAGATGGATTGATTGCGTTTCTCTTTAACATATATTCAAATTTATATACTTTTTTACAAATTTATATTAATATTAATTTTAAATAATCAATACAAATAATGCTAAACAAACTTAACTCTTATTAATAATATAAATTTGTTTTTAAACTTTTTACCCGTGGTTTCCACGGGTTGTAACCTAGTATATAATAAATAACAAAGGGAAATTGACTTAATAAGGTAATTAACTTTTTGATTTGTTCACATCTGGGTAACTATGTTTTTTTTTACACATCTGGGTAACAAACTTTTTGGAAGTGTTCACATATGACCATTATGACCGGCTGTA